TACTCAAGTTTGGCGAACGTACGATTTTGATCAGCAGGCAACTACAATAATATGAGGAAGGGTGGAGGGCGGGGGTGACAAAAGTTTAAGCATCCACGCAGGAGTGAGTAAGGAAGAAGAAGGAGTTCAGATGTCAAGGGATCTCCCTTCCTTGACTAGGAATTTACGCGGTACGTCTTTACTCTTGTTTTCACTAACGAATCGCAGATAGGACTCCACACAGAAAATACCAGGTTTGCTCACTCCGATAGATCATTCGCATCCTATATTTTCCAAAGACGTCTTATGGACTGCAGTGGTAGGATAAAAGGCTGCTGTGCATTTCAGTGATCCTGATATCTAGGTCCCTGGAGTCCGAGGTCCGGAATTAAACGGACAAGTCGTCAGATTTGAGGTATTACGGTCACGGAATGTTACTCCATTCTTTCATTCATTTCACAGAACTGCTCTCCATTGACCACTTAAGACTACATCTTACTCTCCCGTACTACGGCCCGAGATTTTGAAATTAGTAAATTCCCGCAAACTCTGTGTATAAATCATTATACCATCGAGTCCTGTGCTTTCGAGGTTGCCAACTGCAACAGATTGCCTCCTCAAGATTTATTGGAGCACTCTGCTGTCCCCTTATCTTCGTCTGCCTTCTAAATAAGAGGTCACTCGTATTTCTGGGCCTTATGGTCTCCCTTCTATTCAACCCTACATGTAGACCTTCCTCCAATAAATCAGTGCCTTTCTAATTTTTAGATCCTGGTCTGGCATACACAAACCAAGTCTCCCCAGCTCTATTTCACACAATCGCATATGTCTGGAAATGTGCCAGAGCTCTTTCCCAATGAAATTTAGGCCAACTTGCATGCACGATCTTAACGCAGACAATGCTAGTCATTTTTTACAAACTTTTGAAAACGTACACGACACTATTCTTATGCTTATTTGCCTTCTTTATCAGTATGTTTAGTACTTACTGTTAATATTTCATTTTGATCATCTTATTGTCTGTCTTTATGCTTCACTGATGAAAATGGTCAAAAGAGACTAGAAATACGCAATTCGTCCTTATTTTAAAACGCGGGAGCACCATTCTGGGACCCTTGCTATATGCGTCGGTTGC